TGAAATGGTAGTTCAATAACCCTTTCGATATGACTTGTAAATGAACCGTGAAAAATTTTTAGTACATCAACATGAAAGCCTCTGGTACGATGATTGCCAATTTCTTAGAATGTACTCAAATTAAGGTCAGTGGCAACACATGTAGCATAACATAAGAGAGGTTTTATCTAGTATCTATCTATTTTTTTTTTCTAAAAGCGATATCTATCTAATATTATTTTCTCTGTTTAATCTGTAAATCATTGATATTTGGCTCACTACTGTTTCTTGAGGTGAAATTTCTACCTGACTTGTAACAATTGAAGAGCAAAACATAATCCAAAGAGAAATTCTTCTGGCATAGTTTTCTTGTACCACTGGGTCACTTATATCCAATATGGGAAAGAATATAGATGATTTTTTTGGGTTTTTTTTGGGGTACGTGTAAGAACATCACATATATTTATCTAATCCTAAGAGGGCAGCGGGAGAAGCTGATGGGTTTGAGCCCTAGTGGATGAGCTGGGAGCCCAATTACCTGACTATCCCATTCGATGGATTTGTTTTAAATTTTGATGGGTCTATTTTCTTGTCTCTTGACTTATTTTCACATTCATGTTGAAGGCAATTTGAAAGTAGTGACATATTTGGACTCTTGATTTGGAGTTGATTGTTGATAACTACAAAAAAATTGACTTTTTGCGACGGTAAAATACCGTCGCTAATACTCCTAATGCCGTCGCTAATACGTTTTGCGACGGCAAAATGACTTTTTGCGACGGCAAGAGGGGGGTCGCAACTGCAGGGGTTGCAAAAGAGTTTTTGCGACGGTAAGTGCCGTCGCTAATGTTTTGCGACGGCATTTTTTACTTTTTTGCGATAACACCATACAGTCGCTAATAACGTTTGAAATTTCTTGACTTTTTTGCGACGGCCCTATTTTACCGTTGCTAAAAATGTTATTTGAGACGGCAAAAAATACCGTCGCTAATAGTCTTTTTTTTTTAAAAAAAACACTATTTTTTGCGACGGTGTGTGCTGTCGCAAAAAGTATAAAAAAATATTAAAAAATAATAAAACTTTTATTTTAAATAATAAAATTTCTATTTTTTGTGACAGTATAATGTCGTCGCAAAAAGTAAAACCTATAACAAAATTAATAAAAATATTAAAATTTTCTATTTTTTCCGACGGTGGTACCGTCTCTCACTCTCTAAGAGCTGATTATTTACATTCCATTCACAAAAACATCATAACAGAAAATAAAAATAAAAATTGATCAAACCATCAAATTCAATATTTTACAAAGAATAATTAACCTGTACATGTTCATAAAAGCATATTTAAATTATAAAATTCACCCAAATCCGAAAAAAAAATAATAATAATAAAATAAAATCTAAAATTCACCATTATTTTACATTATTTAAAAAAGCCTACAATGAGAACTTTCGCTTTTGGAGATTATAGGGCAGCCCAAATCCAAGCATTCAAAACAAATAATAAGTCTTTCGAAAGGGAAAAATATAAACATGTAGAGGATATTGCATTAGACAAATTGATTTCAACTGCTCCAGTGACGTCTTCCAAGTAGAAATGGCCATCCTCTAACTGAGATATAACGCCCATGACCCATCCTCTAAAGAAGGAAGACAAAAACCTTTTAGATGAACAACCAGTAGAAACAACAGCAGTGCTTTTTCCGAAAAAACCAACATCAAGTCTGTTGAAAAATGCATAAGCACCAAATCAGTTCCATAGAAAAGGTTTCAGTGTAGACACAATTATGGCTCTACTGTTAACTACTAGGTACATAAAACTTGAAAAAAGGGCAAGGGCTCAGTATGTGTTGCCTTTGGGTTCCAATATTTAACAATATCTCATTCCTACAGTCATGTTTTACGCACTCAAGCGTCATGCAGCTTATTTCACAAATTTCCACTGGGTTACGTAATTAATGTCGATGCTAGTTTATGTAAAGGTTAATTAAAGAATTGACCTCTAAGAGTAACTGAAATGGTGGCTAATAAAAATTAATAGCAAAGACATGAGTTATATAAGAAAATTTTGATAGGGAATATATGAAATGATAGAACCACAGTTATCCCTGCAAAACTACCTAGAACCAACACAAAATTACTTTTGCCTTCTATGCTATAGTTGGCTCTCTGCTAGACAAAAGGTGGTGTAAAAAGCAGACCATTAACCTCTCTCAAAGTCATAAAGCCCCCAAAGCTGTTTTCAGTCCCACACCACATATATAGACAAGTTTTATAAAAAAGCAAACTATTGACCTCTCTATTTGAATTAATTTCAACTCCAAATAAAATAATCCGATTTTGTGGTGCTTGCAGATAGGAAATCCACTTCTGGAATTCAACACCGATTTCAATTCAAGAGCTGAATACTTGTGGTCTCATGGGCTGATATCAGATGCTACCTACGAACTATTCACAAATGTCTGCAACTATTCCTAGATTAGAAGGCAGTCCCAAACTGACACTCTTACCCCTATTTGTTCTAGAGTAAACAATCAAGTTTCAAGAGAGATCAATAAATTTATCGACAAATATGATGTCACTCTCGATGTCTGCTCATCATCCGTCGGTTCACAAGCACAGGTTCTTAATCAATTGGTAGGCCTAGATCTCCAGCTCTCCTATACTTGTTTGTTTCTTTATCTTTAGGAAACTCTTGTAGCCCTGTAGCCCTTAGATCTACCACAACCGGATTATCTCACCATCTCTGTAGCCCTTAGATTTATAACCGGTGATTTTGGACTCGTCACTGACAACACTAGATCTATCAATAATCTGTTAATATATCTATCAACAATCGACGCCGATCTGTTTTATTCTTGTTTGCTCTGGTAATATGTGGCTTGTGTCTTATTAGCTAATATGCTCTGTTTTAAAGTGTCTGGTTTGTTATGGCAATATGTAATCTGTCTTTTGTTTATTAACTCTGTTAAAATCATCATGTCATTACTTTAATAAATTTATTATTCAATATTTCGACTTGTATAGTAACTATGGTGTTTAATGATGATGATGGTATTTCTCTATTTAAATACTAAAATTTCACAATAAAATTTACTATGAATCAGAGTAAAATTTTGCAGTGAAACAGAATAAAATTTTATTGGTAACGTTAATTTCGACAGTAAAAGTTTGGATTTTTTTATAAAAGGAATTTCATGGCTAACATGGATCTTGTTTAATAGATATTGATGCGAGGATTTTAAAAATATCAATTTCATTAAAAACCAACAAATAGATCAAAAGTCATATTATTTTAAAGTTTAAAATATTAAATTAGTCACTGAGGATATTTTGGTAATAGTGATGTGCATTGGACGTTTCAAGAAAAAAAGTATATGCTTGTCCTTAATGCATAAAAGTTTTTTTTACAATCGACCGAATTCTCCAAAATAAAAAAGGCAAAAGAAAAGGATTGCATTTATTTGATGTTTAAGGGCTTCTACAAAAACCAGATGACACTTTTTTAAGGTAATAATAAATAAAAAATAAAACCAAAACACAAAACTGCCAGAAAAACGAAAATAAAAAGACAAAAAGGTGAGAGAGAGAGAGAGAGAGAGAGAAATAACAATCAGATAATGTTTCCTAATCTATTCTACTAGCATTTCTAAATACTCTAGCTAGTGCAATTCCCTACCTAAAATTCAATAACATCTAGAAAACATGTTCTTAGGTGCACAACATTGATTAAAACCATTACAAACATTCAAATTTTGATAAATTGGATCATAACATACTTATCAATAAGTTTTTTGGTGTTAAAAATGCGCTTGAAAAAATCTCATGCGTTTAGTGTTCCTACATTAACAAGTAGTTCACATCTAACTTCAATTTTTCTTGGTAAATAATAATTGAAATAAAAAACAAAATGAAAGTCCAAGCGTTGCAATAACTAATCACTAGTCTGCAGAGTGCACCTTTCAATTTCATCTGAGACACCAGCTCATAGAAAGATCATACATATATTCAAGACAGAAGTAAAACCCCAAAACCAGAAACAATTCCACTTAATTATTTAATTATTTCTGAATAAAGTGTAATGTCCACCACAGATTCACAATGGTCCATAGAATGACAGACGTAGACAATACCTAAAGAATGCAGCCACCGAAATATCCAAGCTTTTGACAACAACAGAAGCATTCATCTCGCCACATATTGAAATAACACAAGACGTAGTGTGAAACAAGCATTCAGGAGAATCATGGAAAAAAAGAATGGAGGGATAGTATCTATGCATTTCATATCAAGCCAATGCGCTCAAAGATTAAAAAAAAAAAAAACACCGAACACACAGCAAAAAAAAAAAAAGAATTTCGAGGCAATTTCGAGACCTCAAATTCGAGGCCTCAAGCATTAATCTAAAACTTACTACCAAATCAAAAAGAGACCTATACCTAGAACAAAACTGAAGCAATCACAATCACATACTCAAACGACAGATTTCAGGTCAAAATTACAACATCCAAGTACAAATCAAATCAAAGTAACATAACAAATCATTACCGCTTTGCGGAGTTTCTTGATCAAGGCCATGGGCTTCCTCTTCAGACCTCTCTGAAACCTAAATTATCCAAACACAAAAAATAAAAAATAAAAAATGAATCAAAGCAACTACCAATGCAACAAAAAATATATATATATAACACAAAACATACATACATACAAATGTAAATCACCTTCTGCGAGCTCGAGCGGTAAAGAGCTTAACAAGCTCATCTGTGGACATATCGAGCAAAGCGTCCAAATCGACGCCCCTGAAACTGAACTTCTTGAATGTCCTCTTCTTCGGTTGTCCTGCTGCTATCTCAATTTCAACATCCGCCTAACAAACACATGCGTATACAGACACGTGTAGAGAGAGAAAGATTGAAAATTGATGAATGGATTCAGGTAGAGAGAGAGAGTGTGTGTGTGAATTGGAGATGAGAACTCACCATGGCTGGAGAAAGAATCGGCAAACCCTAATCTGAAGAGGAACGATGAGACGCAGCTAGGGCTTCTGAGGAGGTTTGTGTATATATATGTGGGTGAAACTCAGTGGATCTAACCCCAGCAAAAACTATTTATTTATTTATTTATTTAAATTTTCTACTTTTTGAATGGCAGTCTTAAGCTCCATTTGAAGGCTGGCTCTTGAAGGTACCAAAACAATGTCTTTCCAGACTGAACCGGGCTTGTGTAGGTCTGGTTGCGCATAAAGCTCGTAGATGGAGTCTGCATCATCGTTTAAATTGCTTACTGTGTTCAAACATTTGATTTCATTTGGCTCAATCAGCAGATTGTTCTCTCCATCTTTCCATGTCATTTTATTTCCTACATTTATTTTTAAAAAATACAGTTCCTGGTAATGGAATCAAACATGCTATAAGAACCGAAAACCTTCAAATACAGAGCCAACAAAAAACTTGTTCACTTCCAATTAGCAAAAAAATGGGGAGGGGGGGAGAAATGAAAATTTCACTCTTTCACCATCTTATATAAAATTTCCACAGTGAAAAGCACAATTTGAACGCAAATAGGATACGAACACAGAATCAAGCAAATGAATATAATAGAGACCAAAATTAAGAAGAAGACTTGCAGCTTGTAATTTAATTCCAAAACACACAAACCACACAAACATTCAAATTTAATTTTCAAGTTTTATAACATTAAATCCTAATCATTTAAAAAATCACTGTAAAGAATCTAGAATCATAACTCAGACCTTGATTTTTAGATAACAGACGTATACTCTTACCTTTGATCTGAGATCAAACAGATTCAGATCACACATAACACAGATTCAGATCACAGATTCAGACCAAAACAAACACACAAAACACAGATTCAGATCTGTTGGTCCAACAAACACACAGAACACAGATTCAGATTCGATCAAGGCAAGAGAGAGAGACAGAGATTGAGAGAGATAGAAGCTTACCCGTGAGTAGATCGGTGCGATGAGAGAGTGAGACGATCGGTGTGATGCGATTCAGACCAAAACAAACACACAGAACACAGATTCAGATCTGTTGGTCCAACAAACACACAGAACACAGATTCAGATTCGATCGAGGCAAGAGAGAGAGAGACAGAGATTGAGAGATAGAAGCTTACCCGTGAGTAGATCGGTGCGATGAGAGAGTGAGACGATTGGTGTGATGCGATTCAGACCAAAACAAACACACAGAACACAGATTCAGATTCGATCGAGGCAAGAGAGAGAGACAGAGATTGAGAGATAGAAGCTTACCCGTGAGTAGATCGGTGCGATGAGAGAGTGAGACGATCGGTGCGATGAGATGAACAACGAGAGAGTGAGATAGACAGTGATAAGATGAGAGTGATCGCCGATCGGTGCAAAACATGAAGATTAACAACGAAACGAGAGAGTGAGAGAGACGGTGATGAGATGAGATGAGACTGAGAGAGAGTGAGGTATAGACAGCAATTAGGGTTTTTTCTTTTGTTTGTCATAGATGAGGTGAGTGAGATGGTGAGAGATGGACGGTTAGATTTAAAAGCGGGGGAACAAAAAAATAAAAAAAAAAGTAGGAATAATATTAGATTTAAAATAATTTTTATAGTTGGTGAATTCTTTTTTTTTATTTGGTAAAGTTAAAATTTATTTGTTTTATATTTATTTTAATGAATAAAAAATTATTATTATTTTTTTATTTGGTAAAAGTAGGAATAATATTTTCCATTAAAATAAAATTAATTTTTTGTGACCTATTTATTTTTTTTTTTGTTACTAAAAATCAAGAACTAATTTTTTGTGGTAGAAGATAGGAAGTGGCAGTAGTGGTGAAAGTGGTGGATAAAAGGTGATAATGGTGATGGTAGTGATGGTGAAGAAGATAAGCAGTGAAGTTGTGGTAGTAGTAGAGGAGATAGAATAACAGTGGTAGAGGAGAGGTAATGGTAGTAGTAGTGGTGGTAGTAGAGTGGTAGCGATGATGGATAAGAGATAGAGAGACAGAGAGAGCCAAATAGACAGACAGAGAGAGAAGAGTGATGAATAAGAGAGAGAAAGAAAAGAGAGAAGAAGATGAAAAAATAGGTGAAAAGATATAGATAAAGAGAGAGAGACAGAGAGAGAGGGGGAAAAAAAGAGCGAAAATAGATAAATAAGAGAGAGAGAGAGACAGAAAGAGATGAGCGAGAGAGCGAGAGAGAAAAAAATAAGAGAGAGAGAAGAGAGACAGAGAGAGAAAATATATGAAAGAGATAGAGAGAAGAGAGATGGACGAGAGACATAGAGAAAAAGAGAGAGATAGACAGACAGATAGAGAAGAGTGATGAGTTAGAGTGAGAAAGAGAAGAGAGACAGAGACAGAGAGAAAGAGAGAGATGGACAGAAAAAGAAGAGTGATGAGAGAGAGAGAGAGAGAGAGAAGAGAGACAGAGACACATAGAGAAAGGGAGAGAGAGACAAACAGAGAAGAGTGATGAGTAAGAGAGAGAAAGAGAAGAGAGACAGAGAGATAGGAAGATGAAAAAATGAGTGAAAAGAGAAATGTTCAAAAGAGTAAGACGACATCGTTTGTAGTGGATCGATAAATCGAGAAGGAGCTCGACAAATAGAGAAGATGAGAGTAAGAAAGTGAGTAAGGCGAACATAGTGAGGGAGAGATAGACAAATAGACAAGTAGACAGAGAGAGAAAGAGAAGAGTGATGAGTGAGAGAGAGACAGTGAAAGAGAGAGATAAACAGAAAAAGAGATATAGAGAGAGATGGAGAGAGGGAGAGATAGAAAAAAAGAGAGAAACAAGAGATGAGCGAGAGATAGACAAAAAAAAGAGAGAAATAGAGCGAAAAAAGATGAGCGAGAGAGAGACACAGAAAAAGAGAGAGACAGAGAGAGAAGAGAAATGAGCGAGAGAGATAGAAAGATAAGAGAGAGAATAAATAAATAAATAAATCAGCAAAATGAATTAAAGAAATCTTTATTAAATAAATAAATAAAAAAAATCAACAAAGTCATGGGCATTTTTAGAAAAATGCTAGACTCACATTTTTCAATCTATAAATCCATTTATAATGATATGATAAGGAGATAGATAAAAATAAATAAATAAAAAATAAAATTAACATTTATTTTATTAAATCATTATGAGTCGAATTGTGAATTTTTTTTTTGATAATGTTGGTTGAGCTTTTAATCCCTTATAATTTATTTTCCTTTCCCTCTCAATTTCCAATTCCTGATGGAAGACGATCGACAACCACAAAAAAAAAAAGGGGGAGAAGTTTGATTTGAGATGGTTCAACAATGGTGAAGATGAATCTACTGGCTTTGTTATGTATGTTTTACCATGTTTTGTAATTCTAACTAATTCCGACATGGCTTTACTGAAATTTCTGTTGTTTGACTGAGGCATGGGTGTGAAGGTTGAACCACAGTAGAATGGTTCAAAAACACGGTTTTATTTCATCTTTGAAACCGTTCCTCCTAAGCTTGTCTAGAAAATCAACATCAGAACATTACTACAAGAAAAGTGGATTTATGAGACGGAACTATTTGCGACGGCACACTTGCCGTCGCAAAAAGTTACTTTTTGCGACGGCAGAAAATGCCGTCTCAAAAAAGCAGAGTATTTGCGACGACACAATTTGCCGTCTCAAAAATGACAGTATTTGCGACGGTATTTTCTGCCGTCGCAAATACTCTCATTTTTTGAAACGGCAAATTGTGCCGTCGCAAATAATCTACTTTTTTGAGACGGCATTTTCTGCCGTCGCAAAAAGTAACTTTTTGCTACGGCAAGTGTGCCGTCGCAAATAGTTCCGTCTCATAAATCCACTTTTCTTGTAGTAATGTTCTGATGTTGATTTTCTAGACAAGCTTAGGAGGAACGGTTTCAAAGATGAAATAAAACCGTGTTTTTGAACCATTCTACTGTGGTTCAACCTTCACACCCATGCCTCAGTCAAACAACAGAAATTTCAGTAAAGCCATGTCGGAATTAGTTAGAATTACAAAATGTGTGGGTAAAAATCTGACCACACTGCCCGTTTAGTAACCAGCTGGAGAGCACTGGCAGAATAGATGGCACCTGACTGACCTGTAACAGAAATATAGGAATCCGGCGGTGGTTCTTCCACCCGGGGGTACTCCGACGATCAAGTCAGTATGTTTCTCAAGGATAATCAAGTATTAAACTGAATACTCAAAGTATGAATTACATACCTTAGACCCACGGGGGTGCCTCTCTTTTATAATATACCTAATCCAAGTCCAACTAGAAATATGACTTCTGTGTACCCCAATCTTAGTACTTACTCTGGACTCTTTGGGAGATAGAGATAAACTCCCTAAGAGGTTTATCCTTATCTTAATTAGGTCCCCTCTTTGCTTCAGGACTCTTGTCCCTTATCTTCGGATTCCGACATCTTCGGGGATGACCTCGGCTTATCCGAGATTACCTCGGCTTAACTACCAGGGCACGTGGCACCTCGGCTGACACGTCGGCGTCACCATACCACGTGTTGGTATTCAGAAAATATGTCCCCACACATAGGTTTTGTTAATTTTGTTAATTTTATGGGAGATGTGAGATTGAGAGGTTTGTATAGACATAGGAGAGATGGAAATATAAGTGAGACATTGGGGTAAAAAAACTGTTTTGCCAAGATTATCTTCTTTCAGCCGACGTGTTCTCTTCGGAGAACGAGGCTTCGGTCGTACTCCCCTACGCGCATGAGCTGTCATGCATATCCAACTGTTTCTTTTACGTGTTTCGTCTTTATTGGAGCGTGTCAGTGACGCGCCTGAAGCCGTCTGTTCGTTCGTCTGCGCTGTCTGACGCGTGCGTTGCTCTAGGCGCAATAATTGCCCTATTTTTGCCGCCGTTTCAAATTTTTGACAAAACTCTTTTTTGCCTCTTCTTTTCCTTCGCTTTTTCATTCTGTCTTCTCGTTCTCTCTCTTTCTGAAAGCTTTTTCTTCTTTGAATCCGCCATTGCTTCAAACTTTCTTCTGGAACTGCTTTTGATTCTTCATTCTTGCGAAAGCCTTCTTCGTTGTTGCAACTGGTTTCTGGGTTCGGTGAGCACTGCCCTGGCTTCATTTGTTCTGGTAAGACCCTTTCTTTTAATTCTTCAATTCTCTTTATGTGCTTTTGTCTGTCTACTGCCATTACTGATTTTGTTCGAGGTCTGGGATTTATTTGTCTCTTGGATTTGTGGCTATACTTTGAGCTTCTATGCTTTTCCATTATTCTCTTTGCTGCTGTTTCTTGATTTGTTTCTGTATCTCTACTGCTTCTGAGAACTATACCTCTGTTCTTGAATCTGAAACTTCGTCTTTGTTTTCTTCTTTCTTGTATCTGTCCCAGATCTATGCCCTCGATCTTTATCTTTATATTTCATAGATTTGGGATTTGTCTGTAGAACCCTTAATCTTTAGGGAAGCTTTAAAAAAAAACGCCCATCTTTTAAGACAGATTCCTCTTAGTTTAAGCCAAAAAACATGGGTATGTGGAGGCATAGGGTAAATACCCCAACAAAACTTGAATACTTTAGACAAGAATTCTCTATCCCAGCCGATGTTCATCTTAAACTGGCTGGGGATGATGATACCATCGTGCCGACAGACCACACAATGCCTTTTCCAATAGTTGCTTTTACCGAATGTGGACTTCGGCTTCCACTCGATCCCCTCTTTCGTCAAGTTCTCCATTTCTATAAGCTGAACCCTATGCAACTTACTATCAACTCCTATAGGGTAATTAACGGTATTATTGCCTTAGCTAGGCAAGAAAACCTTAGAATCACCCTAGCCGACCTTCAATATTGTTATACCATGTGCCCTCT